TTCACTGAGATTCTGAAATCACAGAGTCTTGCTTCATGCTAGGATATTAATCAATAATGAAAACATGAACAGATATTATTATTTTTAAACAGGTTCCTGAAATATAAATATCAAAAGAAATTGTCAGTATCAGAAGCGTTCTTACTAAGTTTTGTCTTCTAAGCTTGAAATCAATCAAATAGAATAAATTATTTTCTATCATCTTGATTTTTTAAAATCTCAAAAATAACACAATTTCCCGCGCCGTCCACTCAGTACAATTGTGATGATATACTTCAGATTGAAGGTTATTGCTATTTTATAACGCGGTCTTGAATGCAATTGTCCATCAAACAGTGATGTTTTTTCGACACAGTATTGTTTTGAACTGGCAGGTCTTAATGCCTTACGTGTTAGACGTACGCTACTTCAGTTGCTTGCGTCGCAGACTCTCTAAACCTTTTGTATAGAGCATCTACGGACTATACAAATGGTTTTGACGAGTACGTGGGCCGGCTGCAACCCAGGCTATACTTCAGAAATACACAATTTTCTAAATCTTGAACTTGTCATAGGGCATGTGCTGTCTTTCGCGAGTACGCTACTTTTAGACATCTTTTTCCACGAACGCTATAAAGGGAATTTGCTTGCTAACAATGGCGATTTTGCACACGAGCAAATGACGCAACGAATCACTCTCAGCTGCAGTCACCACACGCCGAGGAAAAATAATGGCCTGGAGTGGCCGTAGCGAAATTAAACCAAAAAACTTTATTCGGTCTACAATGCCCCTGTGTATAACTTGAACGAGACTATTCCCTTAATTGGGCTGGAACTCTTCCACCTTGCATGTTAGACGCGCGCTTAGTGGTATTTGCCATACTTATCTGAGCGAGAAAATTCCCCAAGCGCGCACAGAAAGAGCTGCCTAAAAATAGCACACTAAGAAAAGACGTATCTCAAGGCCCATCACCATTGATCAAATCTTCTAGGATATTCTTTACTTCTGACCACAGGTAATGGACCATTCCCCCTATGACACTTCCCCTCAGGGAATCACAATGGTTGACTGCGCCCTTGACATCTTGAAGACGCGCGACGGTGCATACAACGTCGCATTCATCGCTGGCTCGTTGGCTCGCAGTTTAACCTGTTACAAAGCCATTTATTTTTCACAGATTTTTTACATTTTTTTATATTCCGTCTTTTAGGATTTGGGGCGATATTCCGCCATTCCGCCATTCCGTCATTTCGTCATTCCACCATTCCATGTTATAAGGTTGCCCGAAAAAATCTCCATATCGATGTAACATAAAGTAATGTAAGGTAACAAAGAAAAAAGAACCAAAGAACAAAGAATGCATTGTTTTCGAGGAACACATGATACAGAACAGAGAATCCACTAGCCTTGTGCGCACTTGTGAGTCCTGTGTCCATCCTGTCTTCAACCAATCTTCGGGTGGATTTATTTGCATCATACGCGTATGGCTGCGCATTTGCCCGCTGGAATTTTTTATTACCTGCCGCTAAGAAAAAATAATCACGCCGCGAAAGTTTTCTAAGTTTGCTTATAAGACCTTATAAGACCACCAAACTTTACGCAAAATGACATGTGCGCAACTTCGGACAAAAACACCAACGTTAATATCTCAAAAAAATTGCTAGGTTAAGTCGGAATTTCAATTTTTTTTATGGAGTGGAACAGTTTAGTTCACTATTATCAAAAGACACTTAGAGCAAGGGGCACACATACACCAACCCAACATCCGCCTTCCCCGCGCATGTCGTCGGAGAACTGTCGCGCGCTT